GGAATTTATTATATAAGTTTCTTTAAGAGTCTCAAGAGCAATCATCATGGGAATTGAGGAAACTATTAAATATCTACTCAGACATTCAGTGTTTAGTAATACAGTAAAAGTAGCACCAGCACTAGTACCACCCTTGGTTCTTGAGACTGGACTCTGACTTTGAAGATAGGAATCCAACACTGATTCAAATGTTCTGCCTCTGCAGCTGTATTTCAGTCTGGGAAATCCTGAATTTAGGGGGGGAGGAACCATTCCATTGGTATACCCACCCAACCCTCTGCCTTGTTCCCAACCTGGAGGTTTCATTAGTCTGAATGGGAAAGATAGAACTAGAAGGAGGAGGAGAGGGAGTAAATATTACTTTTCCTGCTTCTGTGCTGTGGAAAATTGTTGGCTAGAGGCTTGTTGGACTTCTTCAGAGTCTCCCTCAATGTATTCTGATCAATGGTAGGTTTGCTCTGCCAGGAAATTTCAAGCACAAGAAGAAACTATGAGGATGGCAAGAAAGAGGTAGCACCACACTGAGATTAAGTAGGTGTCCACCTTATTAATTGTGAAATATACCAAATACAAGTCAACAACAATTGGGGAGTTGGTTCTTAGTCCTTTTGATCAGGCAGGCTGGTTCAGTTGTCCTACAGTAGATATTCTGTGAGTCCCTGACATAGCTCAGGACTCAGAATCTGAATCTGACCCTGAAGAAGCTGCTCCAGCTCAGCCTGTGGAATGTCAGTCTCAGGAGAGACAAAGCCAAGAATCACATGAGGCTGGACACAGGCACCAGCTAAGCAGCTGGAGAAGTCAGATGAGGATGATGTAAGGCCTCCCAGTCCCCACACCCAATGAGTAGAGAACAGAACAGAGCAAAGATGGTCTATGAGGCTCCTTGCCAAGCAAGGAAGTAAATCTTTTGATTAGTGACAGCTGGCTGCAGCCTGATTTAAGAGGCAGCCCTGACCCATGTTCCCTTTGCTGGAAACAACTGTCTGATCTCCAGCTCTTGTGTGATGCTTGTGTGTGGATTCTGCCCATGAAATTCTGGACTCTCTGAATCCTGGCTCTCTGAAATCCTGGACTCTCTGAAACCTGGCTCTCTGAATCTTGGACTGATTTTGGACTATTCTTCTACATGTTCCTGTTAAAAAGCAAATAATTCAGGCAAGCATCTGAGACTGTTTTGGTTTGCATGCTTTGACTGTTATCTCTTGACCTTGCATAAACTGTGAGCTACTGTAGCAACTGTGTGAGTCAGTATTTGAAACCTGAAGTAGGACAGCCCCCAGCAAATCCAAAATCTTGGGCAAGCTCATCAGAGCATTACTCAAAATCAATTTGAATGCTGCCACTAAGATACCTTCCTGTCCCATGTTGCAGAATAGCATAAAACTTCTTGCATCTGCTTTGCCCATTAAAATCTGAAGTACCTTTCCTGGCCTGATTTGCTCCATGAATTGGTATTTCACTACCTACTGCAGCTGTTACAAAGGATGAGCAAGTCAATCAATCAATGTCAGATCAAGAGGTGCATCGGGGGAGTTGAAAATCTTGCCCAACAGCAGCCAGATGGGCATGAAAACTTTCTTCACTATTCCTGGTTTTCAAAAGCAAAGAGGCTCACTTAGAGCATCCATCATAATGAGGTGAGGAACTGACTGCCTAGTCCACGCCAGTAGCAAGCTATGTTTATAAATCCCCATTTCTTACTACTTGAAATTATGTCTCATGATGGGCAACATGGATGGCCATAATAGTTACTCTGAGTTTCATATGGCTTTTAGGAAGAGAAGAAACATCTCTTTTTACCCCAGGGGTGATTTATGCCCACCTTGCAAACAGTGCCACAGCAGCAAGGAACCATCAGTAATGGGAACCTCTTTGTAGAATTACCTGCCCCAAGAGATCTACTTCCTTTTCATATTCTTTCAGAGTAACAGGTATATTTGCTCCAGAACATCATGCTGGGTTGGCTTCAGCTGAACTGCTCACCTAAGCACAACTGCACTACAGTAAACAAAATGCTTAATCTCAAAAAGGGAAGGAAATAGTACCATCAGATTTATATCCAAGCCTAGTACATAAATCGTCAGCAGTGCTTATCTCAGGAAAGAATGTGGTGAAATACATTCTAAATAGAGAACAAATCAATCTGAGAGATTTATGGCTAATGGTCTTCTTTAACCTACACATAATCAAACAACAACCACGTCCCTAATAGAAGTAGAATAGGCCGAGCTACAGGGGAGAGAAAGATGGGCTAATGTGGCATCAGGCCAAAGCAGCAGAGAGACTGAATTAATGCAAATTGTAAACGGACAGTTCTGTATGGAAAATAACTGTTTTCTCCTCCTCCCCTATCAAATATGCTTGTATCTGTGTCTATATCCACACACATGCAAATATGTAATGCCAGAAAATATGAGACACTTCATTCTATTTATCACAAGTAATATGATTTGCAAGGCATTTCTTGCATATTATTTGTGATGCAGAAAATGGCATATATCAGAATTCCCAGTCCTTCATCAGGCAGCATATTATAGAATTATTTCTTAACCATTTTTCAGAATTAAGCCTTTGGAGGCAACATACCAGAATAGAAACCACACCATGAATTGCCCATATAACTTCCATTACCACGTAAACTTTTTTTCTGCCTAGGTTCCTGTTTTGCTCACCGGTCTTCTGCTTGAATACATATTCAAGTAGATTCCTTGAAAATAATTTATGCTAAAAAGGCTCTTTACTTACTCTGCTTCACAACCAATCATTATCTCTACATCTATTATTAAGATGGGAGGTTTCATTATTGGGAACAGAAAGGAATATGAAAAAAAAAAGGAAGGAAAAAAACCCTGATACTAAGCAAAGTTACCTACTAAGAATTAACTTAGTCACTTACCAGTACCAATCTTTCAATAAAATATGTACTCTCATATCCTTTGGCCTTATCTAAAAATGGCAGTATTAACAAAGCACAGCTATGGATAATTTTACCCTTACCTTTCATTTTAGGAGAAACCAAGATGTAAATCAGTTCATAGATCACCTTTAATTATAGGCCAGTCTGGTAAACTAATCAATAGAATTAATTCTTGGACAGTTTAGAAGTACTGTCATTCTATCAATGACACATTTTACACAGGGCAATTGGCACATTTTGAAGGACATGCTTGCCACAATTACTTTCACCTCTGAATGGTTCTACCAGTAAGTTATTTATGTATGGAAACAATAAGTAGGCTGTATTGAAAGCATTAGACAACATTATCTAGACTGACTAAAGTAAAATGATATTTTGGCAAATTTTAGATGAATAAGGTGCTTTGGTCATTCAGGTAGATTTGAGATGGTTGACTCCTATTTTTGGGAAGGAAGGTGTTTTAGCTGTGCTTTTTAGTTAGTGCTGATGTGTTTTAACTCTCTTTTAGTCAACCAATATATATTATAATTAGCTAGTATAATTCATTAACTAATAAATAATTAGAATAATTAGCCAGTATAATGATCATTGTGTTTGTTCTTGTTTGTCCCCTTGACCACTGTT